GAGAGTTGTAAATGTTCTCTAGTACTTTGAGTCTCAAGCTATAGCAACAATGAAATATTTCTACTCTAGAAGTAGTAGTTGGGAAAAAAATGAATGCAAAAGAGTCAATTATGATTGTATTCACTGTCTGGAGGCCACACTAGAGAGTATCCTGCATGTTTGTTGAGCAAATCTGTTGAAATAATTAGGTTGAACCCGAATAGGCAAGAAATTTTTCAACTAATTCCAGCTTCAAATCCTTTCTCTGAATATAGGTAATTAGTCTTATTCAAATGAAATTGCCTAAATTGCTATGTATGTTAGGGGTCCCCAACCCCCAGGTCATGGACTAGTACTGGTCCATGGCCTGGAAGGAACCAGGCCACACAGCAGGAGGTGAGTAATGGACAAGAGAGCAAAGTTTCATCAGTATTTACAGCTATTCCCCATCACTCACGTTACCGCTTGAGCTATGCCATGCCTCCTGTCAGATCAATGGCAGCATTATATTCTTATAGGAGTGCAAACCCTATTGTAAACTATGTATGCAAGGGATCTAGGTTGCACACTTCTTCTGAGAATCTAATGCCTGATGATCTGAGGTGCAGTTGAGGCAGTGATGCTAGTGCCAGGGAGTGGCTGCAAATAAAGATTAACATTAGCAGTGAAGTTTGACTACACAGAGACCATAATAAATCAATTGCTTGCAGACTCATATGAAAGCCTGATCAGTGAGTGGCAAGTGAGTAAGTTGCAAGTGGCAATTGATGGACTTCAATTGTACAGCTGCATCTGGTGACAAGCTTAAAGTCAGAATGCCACACTTAATTTTAGTCCTTGGGTGGTCCACTCATTATTTTATTTAACACTTCCATCCATGCCTTTTTTTTAGTGGTGAGTTGCATAAGAAATAAAGTGCACAATAAATGTCATGCACTTGAATCATCCTCAAACCCTCCCCCACACCCAGTCTGTGGAAAAATTGTCTTCCACTGAGTATGATGGACTGCCAGGGGAAGGGTGCGGGGCACAGAACCTCACGAAGGGTACCTGACCCTAAACCAGGGGGAGTGAGGCCCAGTTGGGGGCCCAAACTTCACCTACACATAAACTACGTATGTACCTAATCCTGACTTGTACCCCATCTTTACAATAAAATAGAATAAAATAAACTCTAAAGAAATAAAAACAATTGTCTTCCATGAACTGGTCCCTGATGCCAAAAATGTTGGGGACCACTGTTATTCATTGTATTTTACAAGTGTGGAATAGCCGTTGTGTTGGGGAAATGTTTTGATATGATCCAGGAACCTGACATGGTGTTTTTCTGCCCAAAACCTTAGGGCATTTTATTAATTTGCTAGGGCTGCCATAACAAAGTACCTCAGACTGGGTGACTTAAACAACAGAGATTTATTTCCTCACAGTTCTGGAGGCTGGAAGTCTGCAATTAAGGTATCAGCAGGTCGATTTCTTCTAAAGATCTCTCCTTGGCTTGGAGATGGACAATTTCCTCCAGTGTCTTCACATAGTCTTGCTTCTGTGTCCTAATCTCTTATTATAAGAATACTAGTTGTATTGGATTGGGACCCATATGACCTCCTTTTATCTTAATTACCTTTTTTAAAACCCAATCTCCAAATACAGTCACATTCTGAGATAGTAAGTGCTACAACTTTAACATATGAATTTGAGAGTTGGGAGGACACAATTCAATCCCTAGCAGGCATAATGCACATTTTCGGGGTGATGTATTTCTTGAGTTTGTCCTTGCTCACCCTCAAAGTCAAAAAATATTATTCTAAGGGACAGAAATAAGATGTAAAATGTCCAGAGCTTTATTTATATTCACTTTACTGATATTTCTAAGCACCTGCTGAAACTCTCTCCTTTGAGGAATATAAAGCAGCTTCAACAGCTGTAGCTTTAAAAAGCACATAACGTAATGCCTGGTATGTAGTCTCCATTCAATCTATGTTTGTTTAATAAAAATTAAGCGAACAAACAAATTAACTGGCCAACTGGTGTAGTTTTCTAAGATAATGTCTCCTGTTATAGCCAAGGTGTTGTAGGAAAGAGCTTTAGCCAGTGCAGCAAAGAAAGATGCTGCCTTGGGCACAGGGTTTACATCACCGCGTTTAAGATTGTGGAGCCTCTCTAATCCACCAGAAATTAGATTGCACTGTCACTTTAAGGAGCCAGCACAACAGGGAAGGTTGAGCTAGCTGAATGACCGAACCAACTTCCTTTTGATCCATTCCTTTAAACACAAAACTGAAAATCAGCTATATCCTTATACACCGTGTCATTTTATCCACTTTAATATCTAATCTTCCAGTTTGACTTTATGGCCAAACATATTATTATTTTTTGGATCGACAGTCCCTCTGGCATCTCTTTCATTCATGATGTGACTTTCATGTACCCAGCAGGTCTTTCAGATAAGAGCTCCAAATGGTCATCTGCACTGGAAGCAGACACCACATTCTTTATGAAGAGTTTCACAATGTAATAGGTTCTTGTCACCATATTAATGAGATCAGAGCCATTCTGTATCCTGGGGAAGTTGGGGTGTCTTTTCCTCTTTTCTTTTTATTGAAACGATAAAGTAAAAGTTGGAAAGATGCTTTAAATTTGCCATGGAAGACATTACAAGGTAAAAAAGCACTTGTTTTTCAATGCACAAAGAAGAATGATGTCTTGACTCTTCTGTGACTATTCTATTCTAAATAGTCCAAGTACAGCCACGTTTCAACCAAGACTAGATTAAAACAGTTTAAGTCTAGTTAAAATTGAAACTGATAGCGCAACTTCTGGTTATACTAATCTACAAAACAAAATATAAGATAAGAAGAAAGTGATAATTAAACTAGTAGTGATATTTAAAAGTTCCTTTTTCCTTAGAAACTGCTATTGGCCTACTATGGCTATCAAAGGTCCATCTTTCAGTTCTTCTTCCTAAGAAAAATTTGTCCTAATCACTACTGTCAATTTTTTTCTTTCAAATATAATATTTTAAGATTGATATAGATATGTTTTTACTTTAAAAATAAATAAATAAAATACATTTAAGCCCAAGAAAGGGCATTTCATTTCAAAGATAGCCTTATTTGAATCCAACACTTAGATATAATTTTTATGATCTCCTAAAAGTCACATACTATTTGGATTCTTTAACCTATCTTCATTTCTGTTTATATGCTTAAAAGCCATGACCAAAATACATTTAAGGTAGCCTAATTGGCGAGCTGGCAGAAACCAGCGCAGATTACGAATATAGGGATTGTGAGATATCTTGATTCAACTAGACTTTTTCCCAGGACTGGACTCCAGCATGTAAAGGTTTTGTTGATCCTATATGACAAACTGCATCACACTGAGATAAATCCTCTACAACATTCAGGCTGGTTTACAATGTTTGCTTGGTGTTTCCATTGCCTTAGTTCCTTATATAGTTTGGTTTTTGGGCCTTTACACACCTTCCCCATTGTAGTGGCATCTTGGATTTTGTTTCTTGGACTTCTCAAATGTTTTTCAGATACATTTTCCCATTTGATGCCAACAATTATCCTTCTTAATGTCTTCATTTCACAAATAAACAAATAGATATACAATGAACTAGTGGTACATGCAAGCCTGGAATGGGCATTTTGTATAGTTTCTTTTCCACTTTATCATATTTCTTCTTCACCCCATTACTACATAACCATTTGCTCCAACTCTGTACCTTTTCTAATATAGTTCCTTTTTATTACCTGTTTATTTTATATCTATTTATATAAAAATCTGTGTTTTTTATAAATGAGTAATTACCAAAGATCAAAGTCAGTTTAAGGTAAAAGTGTGGCCTCAAGTAAGACGTTTAGGGATAAGATGCAAAAATTACAATTTTTTTTTTTTTTGAGTTGGAGTCTCACTCTGTCGCCCAGACTGGAGTGCAGTGGCCGCTCCCCGCCACCGCAGCCTTGACCTGCTGGGCTCCAGTGATCCTTCCACCTCAGCCTTCCAAGTAGCCGGAATTACAGGCACGCGCTACCACGCCCGGCTGATTTTTTGATTTATTGTAGAGATGAGGTCTTGCTGCCCAGGCGGGTCTCGAACCCGCAGGCTCAGGCAATCCACTCACCTCAGCCTCCCAAAGGCGCAGGATTACAGACCGAGCCACCAAGTCCAGCAAAAATTGCTATGTTTAAAGTAATACTAAATCTACTATCACTTGCCATTACTATTTACATGCTTATTCCCTTCCTGCTTCTGCCAGCCAAGATTAAGTCTGAACATAGTGGTTCTGAACATAGTGGGAGCTTTCCGGCTCCTTATCCTAGTTGCATCACTTGTCAGCCATGGGAAAGTTACTTAACTACCCATGCCTCATTTTCCCTATCTGTAAAATGGATATGATGATAGCAGTAGTCTATTCCTCATTAACTTACAGAAAAAATCAAGTTAGATTATAGCATAGTCCTTGGTACAGTATAAGCACTAAATAATTATTGGTTATTATTTTTGTTACAAAATACTCTGGATGTCTTCATATGAATTTTGTCCTATAAAATGTTTTTATTTGGGCAATAGTAATTACCAATTCTTAAGTTCATAGTAAGGAAATCTCAGTGTATGTGTATCTAATTTTCTAGTTTCCTACCCATCTAAGGTAAACTTCATAAATCAATATTTATGGAGTAACATCTATAGTCTCTTATGGACCCCATTATAGTGGTTCGCAACCAGGAATAATTTTGTACCATGGAGAGATATTTGGCAATATCTAGAAACTTTTTTTTTTTATCATCACCTCTGGGAAGTGCTCCTGGCATCTGTGGGTTGAAGCCAGGGATGCTGCTAAATGTTCTAGAATGCACACAACAGCCCCCACAACACAAAAAAATTCCAGAAAAATTAGAAAAAAATGAAAATAGAAAAATTCTGCTCTATTAGAAAAGGGAGAACTATAAGATATCACCACTGTGAATAGTCTAGTTAGAAAATGTTTGTCAAATAATGTAAATGTATTTGTAATGATGCCTGTTAACACCAGGAACGGGTTATGGTTAGTTCATCTTGAAGACTGGTTGGCGTCATAAAAAGTCATTATATGGACATAACTGTATGCTTAGATAAACCACAGTATCCTTGAAAAATATGCCTTACCACTCTTTGGTTTACAAGCGATCTTAACCTTGGTTAATTATTAAAAGTTTGATATAAAAATTAAATATTATATTTCAAAAAACCATTACCAACTATTTGCCATGTTGCTTATTGAAGTTACTTGTTGGAGAGCTACAAATTATTACTTTTTTCTTCATGAAGACTATATGGGTATCTATAGTAGGAATGTTGAGTTAAGTGACAAATTCATATTAATATATGGTAATTTAAGTGGACATAATCAGACGTTATTTACTGACAGGTAAATTTTCTTTGCATGTATTAAAACCTTCCATTTTTATGTTCACTTGAACATAAAACATATGTTCACTTGATATTTATGTGAAGGTGACTTCCTTTGGGTAAGCAATTAGTTGTTATTGCTGTTGTTTTCTTGCTCAAGACAAAAACCTTTTGCTTTTTCACCTGCTGAACACTTTCCTTTAACAATCACTAACCTGTGCACCAAAATGGTATTTTGCATTGGACTTTTCTGATAAATGTTTGGTAGATATAGTTGCGTGCATGTGTGTGTGTGTTTAGGTTTCCACTTAAAGTTCAGTGCCAAAGCTACAGTACTTATACATTTTCTAAATGTGTTTTAAGCAATAAGTTGTACAACATTTTTAGAACATGTGTTAAGCTATTTCTCTAAGAATGAAGCTCTTAACAAAACATAAGCACTCTGCATGAGATCTTAGCAGCAAAGTGCTTAAAAGATAAAGTAAGAATTGGTACCATGGGAAGAACACCAGCTGTAGAGCGCACAGGTCCATTATGAGAAGTATGGTAGTGGGTAGGGAGAAAATGATTTAATCAGGAGTAAAACCAATTTTATTATAAGGGCACGCAGGGGGTGTGGCACCATAGTGAGAGGGACATTTCAAAATATCTGACAGATTTCAACAATGTGAAAACCTCGTTCTTTAAAGTGACAGTAAACCCCATCAGGTCTCCCTTTTTGATGCTATTGTTAACAGTTGACTGTTTAAAGCTGGCCTGCTAAGATGCTGTCGGCCTATTTCAATAGTGTGTAGCCAAATAAAAGACTAATTGTTGAAATACAATCAATCAAAAATGATTGCAGGGCAGAAAGAAGGTCTCCTCTGCTGATTTTGTTGTGGATCATATTATTATGTTATGATTGAGGTAGGAATGAAGACTGAAAGGGAAGAATAGCCCATCTGAAATAAACAGATCCACCTTCATTTCTTCTCTTTGCAAACATACTATTGAGCAGGAACATCACTTGCTAGCCCAAGAAATGATCGTTCATTTAGAAAAAAAATCTGATAAAGAACTGGGCTAGTTTTTTAAAAGGACATGAACACTATTAGCAAAACAGCCCATGCAGAGAATCCCTACAGTGACAATTCTCAGCTTTCCTTACCTTTTTGTTTCAGAATGCTCCTTTGCATTCATAAAACTGACATTGAAGGGGCATGTGAATGTAAGCCCAAGACATCAGTAAAGAAACAGCATTGCAGTTAACCAAATACCTGTTAAGTTCTTGCCAGGATTCTCAGCTTTGCTGTTAACCCCCAGATTCTCTAAAATGCTTAGTCTTAGTTTTCATGAAGCCCAGAATCCGAAATCTTTTCCATGTTGCACGTTTAGAAAGACAGATCCTAGGGAACGACAGCAACGCCTTTGTGCCTTGCTTTCTTTTCATTGTATGTAAAGATGTCCTTTCAGACACAAATACTTCCACTTCTTGAGTGAGAATAATGCCAGACATTCACATTGAGGGTGAAAAGGACAATAATAATTTCCCAATATACTTTATTTCACTAAAACCTTCATTTTGGCATTTACTTTCTTTAATATTTCAATGCCTCAACTCACTCACTCTTCCCAAGCAAACATTTCTGTTGTTTCTAAAAGAGTTGGTAAGCACTTGTGGTTTGTCTTTAGTGTGTTATCATTTTTGACAGCTTTGCATAGCCTACGTAGGCCAACAGGGGTCTGTCTAATATTGTTGCTGGGCATATTTTTCTCACTGAGATGAGAACTAAAAAAAAAAAAAAAAAAAAAGGATATTTTTGAAGCAGTAAGAAGGAATTAATATCCTTTCTCACTCAGTATTCTATTCCTTGCTGACTTTATATTCAGGCAAAAAAAAAAAAAGGGAAAAAGTGTTACCCATTATTCCCTTGTACATAGCAAGGCTAACACATGTAAAGCAATAACTCATTTTCTATTGCCATGTTTAGCATATGTCTCCTGTTGGCTCGGCAAGGCCTTTAGGCCGGTCCCTTGAGCCGGCCATCATTGGCAACTCTTAGCCCCTCGGCCTCAAAACCAAATAGCTTTGAATCATGTTGAGCTGTGATGCTAATTTTCATACTGATGCATTATGGGAATAAATGTATCTGACATACTGTGTCAATGGCAGTGTCTCTTTGTGTCTCTTGTTTTTTTGTTAGCTGCATTCCTACAGATGGTATTCCATTGAAAATGTTCCCTTCCTACGGAAAAAAGGGGAAAAAAAAAAAAAAACATGCACAGCACCAAACCTCTAGGTGCAGAAGGCTGTTAACGGTTGCTGATGATAGTAGGCAAACATTAACATAATAATTAGTGTCTTGTAATTGTTTCATTAAAACCAGTTGTTCCATTTCTCCTCGTGTTTTCCCAGAAGAGAAGCTGAATTTGGACGACAGCCAGTGGGAGGACATCCACGTTGTCACTGGAGCACTGAAGATGTTTTTCCGGGAGCTGCCTGAGCCGCTCTTCCCTTACAGTTTCTTTGAGCGGTTTGTGGAGGCAATCAGTAAGTACCTCACGAAAAGGAGCAGTTGGTGGGATAACCTGGCATTGTGGAATTATTAAGTAAATAATAAGAATGATGATAATAATAACCATGAAGAACAGATCAGATCCCCAACGCTCCATATCTTTCCTTTTAGCTTTTGTGAGTTTGATGGCTTGTTTTCTTTCTGGTCCTGCAATATTATCGACTCTTTTTTTTTTTTAATTAAGGAAGAAAAAAGATGACGTCCTTTTTAGGGTGGCAAATTTAACTAAACTTCCTTAAATGAGAATAACTTCTCATGGAATCTGCTTTAAAGAGGTCACCTTTTGCACCCCTAGTTCCTGCCTTTATACTTTCAAAATAGAAATGAGTTTGAGTACAAAAGTGTCTTGAAAAGGAACCTAAGTAAATTAAATATTACATTTCATTAAATATGTGTTAAATCATCAAGTGAGGCATCACTTTTTTTTTTTTTTGGCTCACTCATCCTTACCTCCCCATACTAGTAAATAGTCAGCTACAATTTGCTTATGAGCTGTGTGAATATCAGATTAAGTAATGGCAAGTTTCTTCTATTATACTGTGACTTTATGGGAGTCGAGTTATAGCTCTTACTAACCAACTGTCATTGTACATGCCATGAAGATTTCACTTGTGTTATTTTCTTATTTGTAAAACACACACTTAAGTAGAAATGAATAAGTGAATGACTGAAAATCGTTTCCAAGTACAAGGGAATTTCTGCTACTCATCTTTAGAGAAGCAACTACTAGTACATCTCAAAATTTAATATCTTAGGGCAAACTTACTATAACTGTGACAGCTTGGAAAAAGTTTCCTGTCAAACAAGCTGATTCAAGAAGGAAAAAGAAAGAAAGAAGAAAGAAAGGTAAAATTAAAAAGCTTGCAAGCCTGGCAGGAGCTTAATTAAAGTCCCAACAAGACAAATCTCCAAGAAAAAATGTTCCACTTAGGAGGTCTGATCTTGGATGCTTGTGTTGTTAGTGGTCCATTAGTGGGAGTGAAGATTTAGGGGCCCATATTGGAGAACAGCCCCTCAATGTGTCCTTTTATTCTATTTTTCATTCACAAAAGTCTTCATACTTTTTTTTAAAGCTCTGGCAAAATGATATCAACAAAAATAAATCACAGGCTTTCTCACGAGGTCTGTCTCTTGTTACTTGCTCACAATTTCAGAATTCATTGTTGTTGTTGCTGTTGTTGTTGTTGTTGTTGTTATTGAATGTAGTAAGAGTACTCTAATTATGGGTTTTGAGATGAGGTTGGAGCTCTTATCCCTTGCCATGATTTTCCTCCACTTCTCAAGAAGAGCAATATTCTATAATTACCAGACTCTCTTAACTTCATTTAAAAAGAAAAAACAAAGGAAAAACAGGTAGATATTTAATAACAGCTTATTCTGATATTCTGTCTTGGAACATGCAAGCATGGCAGACCACTCACAATGCTGAGATGGCATTTCAAGTGAGGATGATTTCATTTGGAAACATATGTGTTGAATTGGAGCCATAATATAGTATATCCATCATTCAAGCTTGCTTTTCTTCATCTGATTCTAAAGATATTAGGAAAGTCATTCTCTCAGCTTAAGGGAAAGAAGGTCCTCAGAACTCATGTGAGAGCATTTTTTAAAAACTTTCTCTAGAGTAGGATTATTTCTGGGATATCTAGACTTATGTCTAAATTGGACGGAATTTCAGAAATTCTGAATTTGGTCAGAACTGAACAAGGCAAACTTGAGCCAGGCAGCATGCTATTGGACTGACAGCTATGGCAAGAGTTTTTGCCAACACCTATAAAATGGGTTGTGATAAGAATAAATGAGAAAGTACTTAAGAAAATTCCTTAAAAACATAAGAGGCTATACAAACAGTGCTAACCTGTTTCTCCAGAGGAGCTTTGTTTGAGAATATAATTTAGAAAAAAAGAGACAGGGGAGGTTTTCCTTCATTGTTCAGTGACAGTGCTGTGATTTTAATGTGTCCCACTAAAATTTATATGTTGCTATCCTAACCCCCACTGTGATGGTATTAGGCGATGGAGACTTTGGATGGTAATTAGGTCACTGGAGCAGAGACCTCTTGAATGGGATCAGTGACCTTTTAAAAGAGGAATGAGAGAGACCTGTCTCCTCTTCCCCCATATGATGACACAGTTAGAAGTTGCCATCTATTAATCAAAAAGCGGACCCTCACTAGACGTGATATGTGCCATCACCTTGATCTTGGACTTCCCAGACTACAGAACTGTGAAAAATAAATTTCTGTTGTCTATAAGCTACCCAGTTTATGGCACTTTTTATAGCATCCAAAATGGACTAAGACACTCAGCAACTGTTCTTTAAGTAACTCAGAATGTTAGAATCATTATTTTTAACACATAAAATGACAGGACAAACAACAGGGTAAGGGGGCTGAGAAATATGTAATGGTGTTGGCCAGAGACATACATTCATTAATCCATGTACTTTACATGAAGTTAGTTCTTCTGTACTAAACTCAGGGCAAACTCTAGGTTGTAATTCATATTTAAATATCCTTAAGCAATAGGAGAATAGCCACCTAGTTCCTTAGTAATGGTTGAAATAAACAAGGAACACACACACACACACACACACACACACACACACACACACACACACACACAAAAGGAGATACTTTTACTCCATTGTATATCAATTGTACTAAAACATCTTTAAAATTGTAAGGACATTTATATCCAGTCCCAGAAACCTTTGTCATAGTTCACATTGCCTCTTTTAAAATCAAGAAAAACTCAACATATCTACTCACAAGTTCTTGGCTTGATATGGAAAGGGATTAACCAAGTAAAGTTAAATCACAGAAGATATGTTCATACATGCTGGGTCTGGACCTCCTAGTCCTCAGATCCTTGCTCTTCCCTCTTTTATTCTCTGTATTGTAGGAGGGTTGTTCCTAGCCAGCTTACTTTTCAGGTGCTCTTGAGGTGCTATTACAGCCAGTTGAAGCCGTTGGCAGGAGAAAGACAAAGGCCAGCAGTTTACTAGTTTATCCCCTAGGCCCTTACCCTTGCCCGCCCATCTGCCTCAATTAGCTTCTCTGCCTGAGGCTCCTCCACCATGACTTCAGCCATGAATGGACAGACCCATTCTGGTTTCAGGTTCCATCTGGTAATGCTCACCCTCCTTTCTTTGTCCCTCCCACTGTGCCTAATTTCTTATTGACATCACCCTTTCTTATCTGACTCTCAGCTTTTTCATCATTGGGTCACCATTCCCCATATCAAATTAATTCTCTTTGTTGGTGTAAATACTTAAAGTGGTTTCTGTAGTTTGACTAGACATAAGCAAAATGCCATGCCAGTCAATGGCAGGGTTCATATTGTCATAACAATGTTTCCCCTTTTCTCTTCACTACTTCCAAGCCCAACTTGTGAAGCCTTAACATTATTATTTGGCCCTAAAGAGAGAAATCTGTTACCCTTTTGGCAGTCAAAGGGTGGATAGACGTAAATCTCATTGTAAAATCTTGTTGAAATTTATATCCAATGAGAATGCTTTGCATCTGGGGAAGAAATGCTATTTCTAGTACAAGCAATTAATGACCACTTGTACTATTTCAGTTACTTTAGTTTTTGTTATATGTTAGGAAGTCATCATCACATATTCCAAAAAGAGTGAACAGAAGGCATTCACTTTTTAAAATAGATCCTTTTTGGACCAAAAACAAACATTAATATCATAAGACCTTGCAATTGCCACAGTGATCCCCTGTCTGATAATACTCATTGGGGTAACAAAACACTAGAGACTGTTATATTTCAGAATCTAAGTACTGCAGCTATTGATCTGAAATTCTATACTTGAGGTCAATTCAATTGGGTCACCTGCAGGTTATTTTGTGGGGATTTAACCCACCGACTACAAGGACTTAATTCCCTGGAAATGACTTGTGCTGAAGGCATTATTAGTACTGTAAATGTGAACTCGGCAGAAAAACACAGCCATAGAGTTTTATGATAGGTGATGCAATCTTGTGGCTAGAGGCCTGCAGGGGGTCCGCACATTTCCAGTAGATCTAAATCCTAGGAAATGTACTAAAAGTTTGCCTCTATTCCCATATTTTTTGTTCTAGAAACTCTACAGATCCAAAGCAAAAAGGCAACAAGCAGTGTCTTTTCTGTTTTGATATCTGCATTTTCCCAAAGTTCCCAGGAAAGAGAGAAGAAAAAACCCAATGGTATTTCAAACAATGGTCTCATTTAGTCTTCAAAATAACAAAGCAAGAGATATTAGAAAAATTGAAAGGTCGTGTGGAAAATAATTTATAGCTCATGAAGTTACTATGAGAATTAAATAAGACAATATTTTTTTCTTACTCTGTATTAGGCACTCAATAAATGGTTTTAAAAGAAAGAAAATTTTTAAAGAAGTCCCACATTCACATAGCTCAAAAAATTAGACTTAGCATTCAACTGCAGACCCTAAAACCTAAATGCTTTCCATCATTCTACCTTGCCTCAAGGAATAACTATTGCCAAATATCTGTCTGTCACATCATCCTACATAAGACCCGTGTATCCTATCTTATCCTATATAACTCCACAATCAATTCTTTCTTCATATTTTAAAATGAGTTTAGATGTAAATTAAAGATCAGAAATGTCCGTATTGGTGTTTTAGGTTAGAAATAAAGTAGGCTTCCCAAGAGTGATCAGTGTTTCAGTATCTACTACTAGAGAATAAAAGCATTATTGCTTTAAATGTTGACCTCTCTGAATACATTTTTAACTCTGCGCTCTGATTTCTATAACCAGTTGCTCACCCATCTTCTTTTGAAACTCATCTAGATATACACAATGTTTTACTTTTATATGAGTAACTATTTTAAGTTTAATTTTATTAGTATTCTTCTTCACAATTATTTACTTATATCAAATTACAACAAACCAAATCACAGAGATGAAGTAACGACAGGAAGCAAAGAATTGCGCCCTAGTACCTCACATCCCCAAGC